TTTTACTTCTGGATGACATGGTCTGCTAAATATCCAGCTAGAGAAGTACACCTATCGTTTGTACTTCCTACATTCAAAACTTCCTTTGCTTCTAGTGAATTGCATGCAAAATTTCACTACATTAAAACGTTCAATGGTAGCTCTATGCGGATGACCCCAAAGGATCGCGTCGTGCGCCGTTTTTCCATCATCAAATTTTTCACCGCTGTCATCATCTAGTTTTTCACACTGTACTTTTATTATTAGCCAAGTGCTCAACCAAGCATGCATTAAGCGATAATAAATTATTCAAAAAGGCAGCCATAATGGCAAACCACCTGTCAGTTGTGTCAAGCGGCAACAGTGTATGCAACAAACCAACTAACCTGAACTTTCCAACACCTCTAAGAAATCCACAACTCAGTCAGCCGGGCATGGAACAACGCGACTGCTTTGAGCTTAGCATACCGAAAGCATCTGTTCATGTGTATTATATTTCGCTTCTTTTTAGTTACTTTCATTTGCTGCTTTGGCTTTCGCATTCTGTAGATATTTGTGTTTTATCCGCTGTCGACTTTTCTTTAATGCTCCACAACACATTGGACTAATTACAGATTCACTGCCGTTTATACGACACCGCGCGGTCGTCAGACATTGTGTGAGGACGCACCAGCTGACGATACGTACAACGCGACGGTGCAACGCATTCGACAAGCTAACGACTATAAGGAACTAAAAGTGCTGGTCGAACGACAGTTAAGGTGGAGTGCGAACCGCAAGAGTGCCGTGACCAATAAGAGCAGCAGCAACAGAAGAAGGGTTAACTCGACAAAGAGTAGCCAGCGGCAAAAAAGCGCAAAAGGTGAAGGGTTTACTAGCTGCAAAGCGGATAAGTGGGCCACGGTTGGTGAAAGAAAGTGCGAGAACTCATCAAAGTTGCGAACAAATAACAGCGCTGACGTCAATGTAGACATTGCCTATGCTAATGGAAAATGGTACGATTATAATGACGATGATGAAGAAACCGATAGTAATGCAAATGACATTGTAGGGAAAGTTAAAGAAAAGGCAGTACGGCTGACACACTGTAATCAATCGTTGAGGACGAAACAAGCGATATCGAATACACCAAACAGCTTTCGGAACGAAGATACTCAGCGAAAGCCGCGAGAAGTTTTTTGTAGCAGAGCAACTTCAGTCGTAAGTTCATCTAACCGCGGAGTGAGACCACAAATCGACAGCCACAACAAAAGGGAGCACCCGTTAAGCAAAGAGGATGTCGCCTTCCTAAATTCTCCAGCGCAATTTTTACAATTGGCTTGCGATTACTACGAGCAGGGGTTTCTGCGGCACATCAACTACCTCCAAGCTATCGGCAAGCGAAACGCCGCGCGACGCGAACAGCTGAAGCGTGCAACGAAGCGTGCATCTTCACAGCAGACAAGCAACAGTAGCAACGACGAAAACGCATCGGCAGCGACTAGCGCCACCAATACACCGGGGAATACGCCACGCTTGCGTAGCGCTGAGCATTTTTTCCGGCTGACCTATCTGCTGCGACACATCGGGCGCAATCGTAGCTTTAACATCGGCATCAGCGCGAAAAAAGCGCAATCCGCTGTCGAAAACGGCGAAAACAACGACCGTTGGCGTAACAATTCATGCGCGATACGCGTTAAGATCAAACCGAGCGCAACTCAAGCGCCGCGTTACGAAACCACCAACGCAGCTAAACAGTCGACAGCTGTAAAGTGCACGGCGACCACGTTAGATGGTGGTTGTAGCATGAACGATTACCTGAATGCCAATTCGCCAACAACAATTAGTAGTACAACAAATACTGTAGCAACGCGCGCTAATTTCCATGAACTAATTGATCATCTAATGCAATTAGAAATAAGTGACATTGATGAGACATTGCCGAAAATTACATTAACAGATTGTTCGGCCATTGATAACAACGGTGTCGATGAGACAGCAGCAGTAGTAGCGAATACAATTACAAGAGCAACAGCAGCAACAACAACAACAACAACACAGACCAACGATAACGCATTTGCGTTTGAATTTAATACAATTTACAACAATAGCAACAATTTTAGTGCCTACAACGCGCTTCATTCGCAGGTGAATAAGCAGAAGGAACAACAGCAACAAGAAGACCAACAACAGGTGCTTAGTTCAGCGCGTCGCAACGGTTTCACGTTGAGAGAAGCGAAATTTGGTGCTAGTGCATTGCATTCGAGTCTCGAGCTACCCGAGGAAGTCTACTATAGCAGTGAGGCGAGGCCACCGTAAAAGGTGAGAGAGCGAAGTACAGTTGAGTGATGTTGAGAATAGGTGTTTGGCTCTATGTTCTTCCAAAGTTTGTAGTTTATGTCTTACGGTCTACTATATATGCACGGATGTGTATAAGCTAGATAAGGAGAGTGAAAGTGGTGTCTACTTGGAAGATTTAGGCATATGTACATGTAGTTCAGCTTCCGAGCTCAGTCTGATTATTGCACTGTTTTCCTGCCGGAATTTATAGTTTTAATAAAGCTCGAACCATTAGCATAGTGCAGTTATTCCCAAAGTGGTCCTGGTTGGAAACCCAGGGCAAATCGACGGGAGTCTACGTTGGCGCAAAAAAATGGGGTTCAAAAAGTTGTAAGTCCACGAAAATATATCTGGTTTCGATAGTAAAGAACATAAATGTTGACTTGGCTTTACCTATCAATGTACGCAGATAATACTCTGCTCAAAACAATTAAGTGAGTGGGGAGCAGAAAGGGTCCTTAGTTTGAGTAACGTGCCATCAGAGACTGCCGCCTATCTCAACCTGCATATAATCTTACTGTTGAGTCACAAATATTCAGTAGCTCAGGTAGAGAAAAATGCAAAGCACGTAAGCTACTTATCCGCAGATAGACATGAATTGCCTGTAGATTTCGGAGTCAATCATCCGCACAGCGCTAAAATATTTGCAGTTCGTAAAAGGGGCAGCCAAGTTACTTTTCTTCAAGAGGTCAAAGGTTAATTGATCTCCCTTGGCTAAGCACCTTCATCTGCCAACAATAAAATATAAACACTCCCTTATAACAATATTTTCAGAAGGCCTAATTGCCCGTTCGAAGTCGATATCTTCTGTTGCTCAGTCGGGAGCGGTAGGAAATTCTGGTTTTCAAAAATCTTTCGGTCGAAAATTCTGATAGCTGATAGAAATGTATAAAAATTATATTTTTCTATATTATTTACAACCTCCCTCCACTTCAATGCACTTCTTACATTTATTATAAAGGACTTTTAACCCAGTGGAATAGTATTCGGCGTCTTTGTCTTCGAAATGCTCGTCTTTTGCCGCTTTCATTTCGTCTTCACTAGAAAATCTTCGTGCTCGGATAAAAAAGAAGTGTATTTCTAAAATTTTGTATTTAAAAATTCTGTATGGAAAAATCATAAAAAAAGAAATCTCTATGTTTATATGGTATTCCGATTTTGCCATACCGAATTTTGCAATACAGAATTTTACGATACAGAATATGAAAACACAGAATATTACCATGCAAACTTTTGAATGGAATTTTTAATACAGAATTTTTAACCATAACCATTTTGTATCCAACACGTTCAGTCGCGTTATGCTTCTTAAAAAATAACCTTGCCTTCTACTTGCATATAATTACCTTCATATGAATATATCTGCATTTATTGCCACACTCGACTCTACATATATTTATACGAGTATAATAAAATATTAACTATTGTCTTATTCAAAAACATTGGAACATGTTGAGACCTTTTTACCAGGGACCTGGACTTTCATAACATTTATAATAAAAATCGTCAGAAAAAAGTTATTTTTGGACTTTTATTTTATTTGAAAGAAAATAATCGGTCAATCCGCACTTTTATTTTTTTTTTTTAGTTCAGTAAAAACAATTAAGCTTGGTCATATATTTTTTAAGACCGAAATAAAAGTAATTTTTAATAATAAATAAATCGCTTATCCAAATTAAATAAATTTGGTACGAAATGAAAGAGGACTAAAATAGCCTTCAGAAATATTTAAACGACCTAAAAAATAAAAGTTCGGATTTTTCATGTATTTTTGTACATTTTCCCTAAAACTTCGAAAAATAAACATAATGTAGAATTCTTGTCCAGGAGGTCCTGGGATCAAAGGAACACGGATATGTTTATTCTACGACAATATGTTACCCCGGACTTTTATAGCATCGAAAAAATAACTGTTGTTTTCGGTCCCTGCTTTTTACTAAGGTTTTAATCTGAATTGTTATAAGACATTAAATAAATCTTCCAAATTTTTGATGAAAGTTGCGTTGAAAATGCTTGAAACCAAATAGTAAATATTCTAAATTCCGGAAAAAGTAGGAAAAATAATGAAAACCCCTTTATGGAGCAACACTTATTTACTACCGAACTTTGCATTAAAGCTCCAGCTCCAACCAAAACCCATCATTCAATTATTGTTTTTGCTGGGTCCGTGAAATGGCCGTTGACATCTGCTGCCCTTTGAATACTTCTTGGGCCATTTTCTATGAAAAATGCCTTTAATCGCGTTAATAGACATGCCTAAGAATGTAATCAAGCACTTACCTGGCTATTTCAAGACATTCCCAAACTTGAAGTTTATGCCGCTCTCAGACCACTGTGGATGGGAGTTGGTTGCTAACATCTAATTTTGGCCCCATAGTATAAATTTTTGCCATAAAAATTCGTCAAAGCCTTTCCAATTTTTAGACAGTGAACAACTATACTTCCCAAGTTTTCCCCCTCAAAGCAAAAAAAGTACATAACTGTCCAATAGCGGGTTTTCCTTGCCCAATCAAGCTGGTGCATTTAACAGAGCTCCTTGCTAAACTGCGTTAGTCGTAGATAGAAGAGCTAAAATCTAATTTAAATCAATTGTATGCATACTCACGTCAGTTTAATAATTTTTTTAAGCTTTTAATTTTTTGCATAACTAATTACTTTTTCTCAAATTCACATTAATTATTCCTTTTCTTTTTCACCCTCAGCTTTGCCGATAATATTTTTACAAACTCAACTGTCTTGCCACTTCACGCATCAAAAGCACTTTGCAGCATAACAGCAAACAATAAACAATTCGCCACTCGACAAAAAATCTCAACAAGCCCACGACGAAGCATAAGAAGATTTATCGAACTCAAAAGTGCCTTCGTCGTTAACCGCAGTCGCTTAACAATTCGCTGTCGTCCTTTGACATCTTAAGTGTGAGATCAAGTGTGTTGTTCGACGACTGAATAGCTCGCCTCCACTCCATACCACCGACAGATAGCATAGCTGTTGATATTTTATTTGTATTCACTTTCCGTTTTCTTTTTGCGCATTAACGTCGCTGCTCTGTGAACAATGGTTGCAATCGAACATCGTCAAAAGTCATCGACAGCAGCAACAGCAACAGCCACAGCGACATCAGCAACAACAATCAACATAGCCGTACTATCGCCAACATCGTCCGCCTCATCAGCATCGGCTGCTTCGAATACCACTACGACGACCACTTCGAGCATTCAACAACAGCAGCAGCAACAACAACAGCAAGAGCAGCAGCAGCAATCACATAAAAGTCTCGAGGAGAAGAAGCAATTGGTTGAAGAGGTATTGAAATCGAATCCAAAATCACCCATACAAAAGCAGTTAAGCAAAACAGATAAAATGTCACAGCTGGAATCACCCGCCGATACAAAAAATGCGGAGAAGCAACAGCAAAACAAGGATGGCGGTGCAGTCTCGAAGAGTGCGGTTAGTCAGCGTAATGTCGATATAAAAATTTCCAAAAAATCGAATTTGGATGCAGCTACCAAGGAGCTTACGAAAAAGGTACTCAAGCTGGATTTGACGGGGAAGGATTTGGATGAGTTCTCCATTAAATCGCCCAAATCGCCAATAGGTGAGTAAGAAGTATACGCACATACATATACTAAGGCTTTCCCGAAAATTGTGAATTATATAATTTTAACGAACTCGGAGCAGTTTTTACGTATGTACCTATGCTGATCTTAGCCTTTGCGGGCTAGGTTGACATTGTTCTTATTATGTTGGTCAGATCACGATGAGGGGCTCCGTTTGATACTATTTGGTTGCAACACTTATCCGTTGCGGTATTGAGCTCAAAATGTGGCCTTGTGTTGAAAAAACTAAAGCTTGTTACTTGAGCATTGGATGGACGTGACCTGGTGATTACTTGGCAAGATACATCTGATTACTCAAGTTGCATAAACTTGGCTAAGTAGGCATGATTTACTCTTAGACATTATATAAAGGTGAATGTGTAAGAGAAGGTTTTGACAGAGGCAGAGAGAGCTAAGCTCCCAGATTCCATTGGTGTTTTATCTCAGAGCATAAACCCAAATCAGTAGTCTTTGAGTGAAAATTGAAGATAGAGCCTGGGAGTAAAGCAACCTGGAGTACTACCTCTATGGACGAAAATTTTAGGGCTAGCTCGATGCAATGGTATACAGTTGGCTCCTAAACTCCTCACGGCTTTGATACAGGCTGAAGCTATCGGGGCCCATGGGAGCATACCCGAGCATTTTTCAGGCGGAGGTCTATTCCAATAATCTGTGTGCAGAGATTTCGAATATTAAGTTATAAGGCAGGAGGCACTGAACGCCCTCTCGTCATTCGCGCTCAAATCCTCCTAGGTCCTTGAGTGCATGGACAAGCTTAACGCCATGGCGAAGCACAACATCATCCATCTAATTTGGGTACCAGTAGCATACATAGGGGTTGAGCGCAACGAGGAAGCGGACCGTCTAGCTAGGACGGTGGCCACCTCGTCTCCGATAGGGACTTTTTTTGCGATCAGACCTAGCAGAATCAAGGAAGAACTCAGAAAGAAGGGAAACAAACTCAGAGAACAATATAGGTGTACGTCAGGCTAAAAGCGTACTTGCAAGGCTACAACCTTACAAGCCATAGGGCAATTTAAACCTTCCCACAGAGGGGTTAAAGATATTTATTGGTATTCTGACCTGCAAAAGCTGGTGATCTGGTCGAATGATCTATGTCGCTTCACGAGTGCGAAACGGTGGCAAGAAAACGGCAAAGGTACCTAGGCTAACTATGGCCATGTGTTCCATCCATACAATCGTTAACAGTTGGAGATATCCTAAAGTTTCTTTGATCTCCATTATTGTATGAGGTACTGTAGATGGTAGAGGACATAAAAGACTTCTTGGTCGTAGGGCAAACCTTTATTTCATCTATCTGTGTATCTATATGTATGCCGACAACTTGAGCGCTAAACTCCACGCCAGACAAAGCCCTGGAAACGTGACCACTCGAGCTACCAAGTGAGCTGCGGAGCCAACATGGTAGCAGGCCAAGTCTATCCCAGGCTCAATACCAACGAACCATCAGTTCGATCAAAATCTGCGAGCTAGAATGCTTTATTAGACAGAGTAACTGATACTCTTCGAGGTAAACGATCTGAACCAACGTTGAGCTAATAAAAGGCTATCGCAACGGTACTCTTTAAATAGGTGTAAGTGTACCTGAAAGCGGTAGCTGAATGAGTGTAGTCACCATAGACTCACTTAGTCTATACCATAACTGATCCCTAGTGTTGATAAGAGAGTATTTGGTGCCTTAGGCCTTGGATCCTAGGTGTAGAGCAATGTTGCACCAAGATTTTGTGGATTTCTAAACTACTTATAAATGTAGGAACACAGAGCCAAAGTAGCTTAACATTATTTTTCTCTAAATGGTAAGCATGCTTCACTTTACATCAGTTCTAGTTTCACCAGCGTAAGATGGTGCTAAACAGTGTCCTGGCACCCAAACATAAGTCTAAAGTCTACCCTTTTCAGAGTTAATAGTTGATACTTTCGGAGTGCAATGGGGTATAGTCATTGCGCTGGGTATGCAGTTACAGTTGCATGGCTATACTCAATCCCGACTCTTGCGTCCTCGTTCGCGCACTCTGGGCAACGTGAGCAACCCATGTGCGAGATGCGGTAACCAATCCGAGTGGAGCCTTGGGTCACGGCAGAAAGAGAGGGAGCTTCGGTGGGGCCACTCTGACTTATTCGGTTTAAGGGCTCACTGAAGTCTGCAGCGTCTGTTCACCAGTAGGTGCGGCTGCAAGCGGGTGTCTGCTTGGAGCAAGCGGCTCGCTATATAAACGTGTATTTGGTTGCGAAACCACCCCCGTCCCAGCAATGGGTTGTGCGCTGGGCTTGGGACCCGCCACGTAAAAACCACTTCCAGTGAAGAAGCAAGGCAAAGCCTCGGATGAGACCCCCCCTTATGATGACGACCACGGCAAATGTTTAAAGGACTACGATTTGAGGGCATGCACCTGGAATGTCCGGACCCTTAATGGGGAAGGTGCCTCTGCCCGGCTGGTTGATGTCCTCGTAAGGACAAAAGCTGACATCACCGCCATCCAAGAAATGCGTTGGACGGGGCAAGGCAAACAATGTCTGGGGCCTTGCGACGTCTACTACAGCTGCCATGTAAAGGAGCGCAAATTCGGAGTTGGATTTGTGGTGGGAGAGAGACTCCGTCGCCGAGTACTGTCGTTCACCCCGGTGGACGAGCGTCTAGCCACAATCCGCATCAAAGCGAGATTCTTCAACATCTCGCTCATCTGCGCCCATGCCCCGACGGAAGAGAAGGATGAGGCATCCAAGGATCTCTTCTATGAGCGCTTGGAGCGCACGTACGAGCGCTGCCCCCGTCATGATATCAAAATCGTGCTTGGCGACTTCAATGCCAGGGTGGGCAAAGAAGGGATCTTTGGAACCACCGTCGGAAAATTCAGCCTCCACGACGAAACGTCCGACAACGGATTGAGGCTGATCGACTTCGCCGGGGCCCGAAACATGGTAGTATGCAGTACTAGGTTCAAGCATAAAAAGATCCATCAAGCTACCTGGCTGTCTCCGGATCGAAAAACGAGAAACCAAATCGATCATGTTGTGATAGACGGAAGGCACGCTTCCAGTGTTTTAGACGTACGCACACTCCGAGGCCCAAACATCGACTCGGACCACTATCTTGTTGCAGCCAAGATACGCACCCGCCTCTGTGCAGCAAAAAATGTGCGCCCAAATATGCAAGGAAAGCTTAACGTCGAAAAGCTGCAATCACAACAGACAGCCAGCGCTTTCGCTACTCGACTCTCACACCTGCTCTCAGAGAGCACTCTTCAACAAACCGACATATGCGAGCAGTGGAACCACATTTCCCGCTCATTAAGTACCGCCGCCGAAGAAGTAGTCGGATTTCAGCGAGCCCGAAAGAACAACTGGTACGATGAGGAGTGTCAGGAAGCTGCAGAGAAAAAAGATGCCGCCTACAGGGCCACGCTGCGATCGGGCGCAACGCGCGCTATGTGGGACCGCTATAGGGATCTGAAGAGGGAAGCGAGACGTATATGCCGCAACAAGAAGAGAGAGGCAGAAATACGTGAGTGCGAAGAGCTTGAAATGCTGGCCGACAGGAGGAATGCCCGAAAATTTTACCAGAGAGTTAGGCGACTTACGGAAGGTTTAAAGACCGGGGCGCACTCCTGTAAGAACAATAATGGCGACCTAGTAACTGATGTCCAGAGCGTACTTAAATTATGGAGGGAACACTTTTCCGCCCTACTAAATGGTAGCAGCACGGAAAGTTGTGGAGAAGAAGAACCCGAGCCTACAGTCGATGATGACGGAGTCGACGTTCCACCGCCTGACTATGACGAGGTACGTATAGCAATAACGCGGCTGAAAAACAACAAAGCCGCTGGAGCTGACAGCCTGCCAGCTGAGCTATTCAAGTACGGCGGCGAGGAGTTGATAAGGTGCATGCATCAACTCTTGTGCAGAATATGGTCAGATGAACGCATGCCCGACGACTGGAATTTAAGTGTGCTCTGCCCAATCCACAAGAAAGGTGACCCCGCCATTCGCGCCAACTACCGCGGGATCAGCCTTCTAAGCATAGGTTACAAGGTCTTATCGAGCGTATTGTGTGAAAGACTGAAGCCCACCGTCAATGAACTGATTGGGCCTTATCAGTGTGGCTTTAGACCTGGCAAATCCACCATAGACCAGGTATTCACAATACGCCAAATCTTGGAAAAGACCCGCGAGAAAAGAATCGACACTCACCACCTATTTGTCGACTTTAAAGCCGCTTTTGACAGCACTAAAAGGAGTTGCCTATACGCCGCTATGTCTGAATTTGGCATCCCCTCAAAACTCATACGGCTGTGTAAAATGACGTTGAGCAATACCACCAGCTCCGTCAGAATTGGAAAAGACCTCTCCGAGCCGTTCGCCACAAAACGGGGTTTCAGACAGGGCGACTCCCTTTCATGTGACTTCTTTAATCTGATGTTGGAGAAGATAATAAGAGCTGCAGAACTGAACCGCTCAGGAACAATTTACTACAAGAGCGTGCAATTGCTGGCTTATGCCGATGACATCGACATCATCGGTAACAAAAACCGCGAAGTCTGTTCTGCCTTTTCCAAGTTGGATAGGGAAGCAAAGCGCATGGGTCTGGTGGTAAACGAGGACAAGACGAAGTATCTCCTGTCATCAAACAAACAGTCAGCACATTCGCGCCTTGGCTCCCACGTTACTGTTGACAGTTACAATTTCGAGAAAGTAGAGAATTTCGTTTACTTGGGAACCAGCATTAACACCGATAATAATGTCAGCATTGAAATCCAACGTAGAATCACTCTTGCCAACAAGTGCTACTTTGGACTGAGTAGGCAATTCAGGAGTAAAGTCCTCTCTCGACGTACGAAAACCACGCTCTATAAGTCACTCATCATGCCCGTGCTGGTATATGGCGCAGAAGCATGGACAATGACAACATCCGATGAGGCGGCTCTTGGGGTGTTTGAGAGAAAGATTTTGCGGAAGATTTACGGTCCTTTACGCGTTGGCGACGGCGAGTACCGCAGACGATGGAACGATGAGCTGTATGAGCTTTACAACGATATGGACATAGTGCAGCGAATTAAAATACAGCGGCTCCGCTGGCTTGGTCATGTCGTTCGAATGGACACCGACGCTCCAGCTCTGAAAGTATTCAACTCGGAACCCGCTGGTGGTAGCAGAGGAAGAGGGAGACCCCCACTGCGATGGAAAGATCAGGTGGAGAAGGACTTGGCTTCACTTGGCGTTTCCAATTGGCGTCAGTTGGCACAGAGGAGAAACGACTGGCGTGCTTTGCTGAACTCGGCCAAAATCGCTTAGGCGGTTACAGCGCCAAAAAAGAAGAAGAAGAAGAAGTTGATACTTTCTGCAAGGTATTAGCCTACAACGTCACTATGCTATCGGCAGTGCCCCGGGCCTTCCATTGCCTTCAATTCTTTGCCGAGAAGATACTAAGTAGATGTGTTTATTAACGCAATATTCATCCAAATTGGGTCGGCTTTATCGCACACAAAGTAAGCGTTTATTGCTTTGTTGACACCCTGACAATAAAAGTTGATATTCAAATTAGAGTTGAAAGTGAGGAAGTCACTCGGAAACTTAACAGGTGTAATTTCTGCGTTGATTTCTTGTTTAGAAATTCTACTGTAATCTAAGGCCTTCTACGACTGCTGAAAATCAAAATACACATAATAATAGCACAGTGTCTATCTACCCTTTCGTCACTTTAAATCCATTCCTATATCCCCTTTAGATTAGTATCACTTGTGTCACTTTCTAGAAATTTATCTCATGTACCGAACATACAATACTTGCATTTGATCATCCGCGGTCATAATTGCCCTCCTATCTTTATTCTAAGCGCCGTTTCCTGAGTTCTTTGCGCCACGATTATATCGATATAGTGCGAGAGACATCTCCTGTTACCCTTAGTCTAACGTGACTTTTTAACTTAATTCTTAGCTCTAGGATAGTTACGATCTTAAGAAAAAATTGTATGGATAAGCGACAAGAGTTTTCCTTCATTTTTGACCAAGTCGTAAATCTGTTTAAGTGAACCAGTCAAGTATTGCCTAGTGGCCTATTTTAGGAAGTCGAAAAAAGTTCTGGTAAGGAAACTTGTAGGATCAGTAGACACAGCTGATTTGGTTGGTTGGATGTACATAGTTGTTTCACTTCTTGTGGACAATGTTATTTCAATCCACCGCATCTTACGTGGCGACTTTTGTAGCGACTGTACATATCGCAAGTCCCAGAAGCATGATTTCCTCACGCCTAAAGACCGGCGATAGTTGTTGCAACTTTTCTAACAACCTTACTGTACTTGCTCTGCCATAGCCAGCCAAAGCTCGCGGTCTATCTTACAACTGTGGATCTTTGCGCGTCTCTTGCTTGAGGAAGTGCAAATGTATTTCTGTTTATATTGTTCGGGGAGGGTATGCAGGTACCACGGTTACAGATGCATCTAAACAGGTAGAACCCAGCCAAGGGAGATGGACACTGACTGAGTCATCGAACGTAGTTCCAACTTGCAGAATTATTAAAGATGAGTTTCGCAGAATAGAAAATAGTATGCATTTTGTACTTGGGGAATAGGAGTGTTAATTTGGCGTAGAGTTTTAGGAACGATCAAAAGAAAAGATAAAATCCTAAGCACTTTACACATCTGATATCCGCCTAAGAGATTTCCTTAGTGGTTCTATCTTTTATAATGCCGTATCTGACGTTCACAACCTTAGCCTGGCGAAGTCAAGTAAGCTTATAAGAAAATGTGGAGCGGATCTAAACTCATCAACCAACATACAGCTGCAGCAATAAGGCTTGAAGTAATTTTATGTTTTACTACTTGTGTACCCAACGGGATATGCCCGTTCAAGTCTACTGTCAGGATCTGTGGTTAGATCTGAGGCAAGATCAGTTCTAACCGTGTGGGGTATTATTGGCCAGTACCCGATCAAAGCTTTTGTGTGTGTGGAGGATTGCTACTTAGCTAGATTTAAAAAAGTCTCTTTCTCTCCCGACCTTGCAACTTGTCAGTTCACAGAAACGTTTAGCAAAATATTTTCTAGCTCTTAAGTACTGTGCTGCCTCTTGAGCTACTAATGCCTAACTAACTATAATTCTTTAATTTCCTTTCAGCGCGTTTACCGCATCAAACATCGCTTACCTCGTCGGTCGATGTGGAGGATCGCAAAACGTTACGTGAGGCCTTATACCAGGGTATATTTCATCGACATCGAAGAACCATTTTCGCTGTGGGCAGCTTCTTGCGTATGCTACGCAGCCGCAATTCACAATACAATACCATACGTAGCTCGTCGGAGGGTGAGGATGTGGATGAAGTTAGATAAGACGATGTTTTGTAGATGAGGCAAACCACAGAAACAAGTATATACATGTAGATAAACATATGTATG